CAGCCCGGTCTGCCGCTGTGGTGGCCAGCCACATCATTGTCATCGGTGGGGACACGGAGTTCTCCGCCAGCTCCGCTTACCGCTTCCACAGCGACACCTACCAGTGGTCCAAATTTGGGGACGTCACCGCTAAGCGCATCAGCTGCCGTGCCGTTACGTCGGGCAACAGACTGTATGTGGTGGGGGGCTACTGCGGGGCTCAGCGCTGCAAAACTCTGGACTGTTACGACCCATTGTCCGACACCTGGAGCAGTGTCACAACCGTGCCTTATTCCCTCATCCCCACCGCCTTTGTCAGCACCTGGAAGTACCTGTCTGCCTGAGTCATGGCGTGACGAAGAACCTGGAAGGTAAAGAGTTGCGGATCGACCCAGAGCTCCTCTCTACAACTTTGTGCTGCACAAGGGTTAAACCCCGAGGGGTAGATGCACGTGGATCTAGGCTGGAGTTGTCCTAGAGACACTGCCTTCTGCGGAGGTCAGCTCCAGAAACGTGCTTCCAGGCTGGTAGTTTGGGATCTAAACCCCTGCAGGAGAGAGAACGGTCTCTTTAGGTGCTGAAATGCTGTGGGGAGAAGATTAGTATAAATAACAAGACACTTAACCTGGCATCCTAGCCCTTCCACTGAGTCTCGGCCTATGCAAGGATTTTGCGGAATGCTCTCTGCGAGGAGGATTGGGTGTCATCCCTGGTACAGACAGCTCGTCGAGTCCATCGTTGTGTTAACGGGCAGGCTGTCTGCAGGAGCTGGGATAGACCGCGTGGTGCCATGGGGGGCTGGCTGCTGCTTTTAGCACAGCTGCCTCCTCCTGGTGCCATGGTTAATCTGCTAGTGGCACCCAAATGTCTTGTGGGACAATAAGGGCTGTGAGCTGGTGCCAGAACAAGATTGTAGCTGGGATTTAGTCCCAGAACGGTTGGTAATTGCATTTGTAAGACAACCCCTGTCTACATATAAACACAGGGTTTCTCCGCTTCTAGTTATTCTCTGGTGTCCCTTTCATGCTATTTCTTTCCTGCTACATAGAAATTAACTTTTGAAAAAATTCACAGCTGGAATTAAACCTTTCTAAAGGCTTGTGGCAGAAAAGATGCCAGTGAATCACAGATCCCTGCAGGTTTTTTTTTTTCTTTTCCCCTTGCAAGACATGTACTACCCAAATGAATTTGTAATAAAATATCCTGCGATACCTAGAGAAAATTCCTGGCTGTGGAGCGAAATAAGCAGCCGTCACTCCACAATAGCAGCATTGGAGGTTTTGAGGCCTGGGGAGCATTCTCGGGTTTGCTGCACACCGATCTCACAATACTTTGTTCTGCGCTACAGGCTTCAGACCTGATTTTGCCATTGCCTCATTTCACCGAGGGTCCGGACAGACGACGTGGGCAGTAGGAGCGCCTCTTCCTTCCTACCTAGCAAGTTTGTGAACCATCCTGGATGCTAGCCCGTGTGTGGGTCTCATCAGCATCAGGAGGGCTCACAGCAGCATGGCTTTGGCTTTGAACTGCTTCTGTAAATCCCCTTCGTTCAGCCCAGGGAGGGGACAAGCACAGAGGGACCTCCCTGGGCTGGCGGCTTGTGCTAGCCCTTGAGACGGCAAAAGGTTTCCAAGTTTTCTCCTAACTCATGTGATCTCAGAACAAGAACCAGAGGAATATTTTTTACTTCTTTCATTTAGTATTTTAAGTGATATTTACTAGAAAGGACAAAGGAAGCTCCTAAGTACCTGGCAGCAGGCTCTGGACTGCTGCCTGCCATGACTCGGAATGCAGGCAGCACTAGAGCCAGTTGCTTGAAATGTCTTAACATGCGACAGTACTTTGCCCATGGGCTGGTTCTGTACATTTGGGTGGGTTGGTTTTTGGAGGGTTTTTTTTTTTTGTTGTTGTTGTTGTTTTTTTAATACAGCAGTTGTGTGTGTTTATTACTCAGCCTGGAGCTGCTTCAATAAATCTGAATAAAATCCACCATGTCCCTTGTCTGTTGTATATGCTTAAGCTGCAAGTTTTCCCAGCCTGAGCTTGCAATAACATTTAGCAAAATAGTGAAGAGCATTCCCTGCTCGAGAGTCCAAACCTTCATTGGCTGGGGAGGGCTCAGCTTTTCTTTGTAACACAGGACCTAGGAAAGCTCAGGTTCTGTACTGCCTTCCAGCTTTGAAGGACACACAAATCTGTTTAAAACTCCAAAGATTGAGCTATTCTCTGCCCTTACCTGGTCATCCTCTGCGGAGCTGGGTTTCCTTGCTGCCAAAATGAACAGCAGATGATGGTGGGGGCAGTGGTTGGGAAGGAAAAGCTCTGCCAAGGGTGGGAGGTATGAGACAGGACTTGGCATGGTCGGAAGAAACAGGCAGCAAAGGCGCAACCAGCCGTCTCACCGCAGCAGCACGGTTTGTGTGCAATCCATTATTCAATTTCGGAGTTAAATAAATCAATGTCACAACCCTTCCTAGCTACCAGTGTAGGCAAGAACTGGCAAGAGTGGAAGGAAGCGAGCTGCCCTGCTGCTGGTGGCTGAAGCCGATAAACTGACTTCATTTCCATCCTCTTTTCTGATGCCTCTGCCATTTTCAGCCCCCAGGCTGGGCCATTTCTTTTTTTTTTTTTTTCTTCCCCTCCTCTCCATTTACCCTTGCTGTGCTGCCTCTCCATCGTTTGCTGAGCCCAGAATGCCCCAGGCTGCAAGGAGCCGAGCCCACAGCCTGCCCTGCAAACCCAGCCTGGAGCACCACAGGCAGCGGCATGGAATCAGAAGCATTTAGGTTGGAAAAGACCTTTGAGATCATCGAGTCCAACCACCCAGCAGCTGGAGCGTGGGGCAGCTCCCAGCTTGGCTGTGCCTTGCACACGCAAGTGCAGGCAGGCAGGCAAGCTTGCAGCCCAGGGGAAAGTCACAGCACAGGACACGGCTGGGACCAGAAGCTGCCAGAAAACATCTCCATCCCTGTTAGCGAGCCAGGAGCTGGTTCAGCTTTATTAAATCTACAGCTATTCCTGAGGGTTGGACAAAGTCCGACTTTGCTCAGCAAGTCGGAGGAGCGGAGGTTTCATTCACGGCCATTTGAGCAGCAGCTGTTTTATTTATGCTGTCAAGCAATAAATGTTGGCTCCCAGCCACGTCCGCCTTTTACACCAGGGACAAAGTTGCTTCTAGCAACACGGGTCCCTGTCTGCCTCCTGCTCCTGGCGCTGGGATGTTATCCAAGCCATGCTCACGGCATTTTCAGCTGGGGGAGCGAGCGGCCCAGCTGCTGAAACCTTTGCAAGCGCCTGGGAATTGTTTCCTTGTTTCAAACTAAACTTACAGCTAACTACCTCTCAGGGAAAACCGGCACTTCAAGCACACCTGGGCTTGGCTGCTCCGCAGTGGCTCCACGCTGCTGGCAACGAAGACGGCTGGAGCTGCATTTCATTGCCTTCGTCTGGCAGAAAGCCCCATGCTGTCCCTCCAGCTCCACCTTCTCCTGTCAGGAACCGGCTCCCGGCATGGCGAGGAGCACTCCTGGGGAAAACTAGACACCTCTTGCATGCTTGACAACATCCCAGCAGTGCCCAGCACAGACCTTTTTTCCCAGTTTGACATCTCCACGCATCAATCCAATGCTACGTCAGTGCCGGGGCCAGAAGGTTTAAGGCCGATGGGGCTGCAGGTGAATTTGGTTTAGGGGTGAATTTGGTTACCAGGACAGAAATCCTCCTGAATTTATAGATTTTATAACATAGGTCAAACCTAGGCCTCTCCTCCTAGCTCAGCACCCCATTTCATGGCTGCACCCCCACCCCAGCTGCAGGAGCTAATCCAAGCCCATGATCACATCTGGAAGAGGCAACACATAGGGACATCACTAGGCTCAAAGCCGAAACAATCTAAGCTTGACACCGCTCTCCCATGGGATGTTCCTCTTCTCACACAAAGCCTACAGGCCACCACAACCAGAGAAATACAGCACCAGACCCGCCCACCCAAAGGTACACAGCCAGCGTTGATTTTAGGTGAACTGTACTGCTGCTTGTGTCCGTAGCTGCATTCTGCTCAGCAGCCCCTGCTGCCAGAGTGTCAAGGCAGCACACAGCCTTTCTCCCTTCTCCACTGTGGATGGCCAGTGCTGGTAATTGCAAAAAAAACCAAAACCCCAAAACAAACCTCACTGCAAACCCCAGCACAGCAGTAACAGAAATTCCCTTTTTCTGGCTAAGATCAGCTACGGATCGTTCAGATGCTCTGCAGCACACCCACCATGCGTCTGAGTACACGCTGCTGTTATGACGACAAGCAACGGCAGCCCAGGAAAAACAAAGCACTCGCTACACATGGTGGGATTCTGTCCATGACTTCAAATGGTTTAGAAGGGGAAAAAAGGACATCACACACCTATCTGTCTGAAATTCTCTGAAGGGTCTGTATATCACAGGCCATCACCTGGGATAACTTCAGGTCTTGCAGCACACTCTGCCCTGTACAGTGAGAAGGCACCAGACGCTGCTCTGATGCGGGAGAGGCACATCCACGCTGTGATGCTCAACGAGGATTTTTCACTCTCCTGTACTTGTCACCCCATAACAAAGCGATCCCTGCCGCATCGGAGCCTTCTGTGCGTGCGATACTGTCCCAGAGCCAGGGACCGTGCATCGCCTGCTCCGAAGCTGCCAGCTCTAAGAGGGTTTCGCTTTTATCCTCTGCCAGCTCCCACGGGTCCAGAAGCAGCAAACAACATACGCACTGCACAAGGCCAGGCCCCGCATCTCTCGGCTGTTGAGCCTTGGGCTGGCCCCATGGCTGGGATGAGAAATTAAACTGGATTTGAGTCACAGGGGTGAGGGAAGGGAAAGGCAGAAACCAGCACATTCCCACTGTCGGAGCATGCTACAGAGCCAATATCCTCTGTGCGTGTTTGTCCTCAAGCATCTGGCTTGCCAACAAATCTCAGATGCACGGATGGGAACCATCAGCCGTGTCTCAGCCACATGAAAGAGGAAGGTTTAGCACGAAGCTGGTCATTGCCTATGGCCTCAGAATGATTCATCTAAATAGAAAGAATGTGGTTTGGGTTTCGGATTAATTAGCTACAGATTTTCAAGAGAGACAAGGCAGGGCGGAGCTGCTGGAATACTGGTATGAGCAAGTTAACAGCTCTGAAGGCACCGCCATCCATCCTGAAATCACACCCTCCTTGTGAAAAATGGAGAACGTGTCTCAGACGAGTGACGGCGTTATTGCCGATACTGTCAGCCGCAGCGTTTGCAATCACCAAAGGAATGTCTGCCCCGCTGCTGCGGCATAACACAAACACCCCCGCTCATGTGAACACTGATGGCTGCA